TATTATCAAACTTGTTGTAAGGTTGTTCCAACAAGTTCGATGCAGTCACGATATAACAAGCTTGCTACAAGTTAGTAACAACTTTTCCAACCTTGTTGCAACAACTGGGAACAAGCAGTGTGAAAACAACTTATCGGCAACTTGTGAACGGATTTAGACGTGCAGACCTGTAACAACTTGTTACAGTTCACGTGTATAAGAGCTACACGCGCAAAAATCTCACATCTTGTAGCAAGTCTGCTAAGAAGCCGGCAACAAGTTGTGTTCGCACTGCTTGTCCCAAGTTGTCAACAAGTTTGGAACAAGGCAACAAGCTGTTAACAACTTATGACAACGTTGCATGTTGATATTATCAGACTTTGTTACAAGGTTGTTCCAACAAGTCAGATACAGTCATGATATACCAATATTGTTATAATCTTGTGTCGTCAACCTTGTAACATTCTTGTTATATCATGACTGTATCAGACTTGTTAGACCAACCTTGTAACAAGTCTGATAAGGCCATCAAGCTTGTTACGAGTTGTTAACAGCCTGCTCCAAACTTATTACAACAACTGGTAACAAAGCAGTGCGAACACAACTTGTTGACAGCTTGTGAACAGATTTGTAACAACTTGTTTGCAGACTTGTAACAATTTGGGCGTTTTCTCGTGTGTACAGTGCATGTACATCTAATTCTAAATTCAAAATGTGCGCATAAGTAGAACTATTAAAAAGTGATTTCATATTTTCTTACCAGGTGTGGCACTTGGGTGATTGGATGTGTCCAATAAAATATGACCATCGGAACGATCTTGTTGTAATGTGCTAAAAAGTAACGGGGAAGAACGAGTCGATTCTTAAAAACTCATTAATAATTCATAAGGAAAAGAGAAAGGAAATCACTGCCGAGTCCGTGGTTTTATATGTGATAAAAAATCAAGTTCATTTACATAAAATTTAGCTTTGATTTTCTCTGCTTAGACAACGTTTATTTTACACCCATTTTCAAAATTACGCGACCTCCCTGAAAAATACTCTTACTTCAAATGTCAGTTTTATGTCACAAAAACTGCTAAAAATAGCAAACGTAAACAAACTGGCAAAAGACATTTTAAATCGTATTTAATACCAAAACTGAACAAAAATGAGCTAGATAACTTAGATATACAAACTAAAAGCACTATACAAACCATCACAACAGAAATATGTGCCGTGAATAACTTTTAAAGTTTGAAAAATAACAATTTATCCTGGAATTTAGCTGTCCGTATAAAACACGCGCGCTAGACTATAACGATATGTTATGATTTTGTTTGTGCTTAAATTTTGCAATAATTCTCACTAAAATATCTTGAAAATCATTGTAAGCATCTTTATATAAAGCATATAAAGCATATACATCGACAAGGAACCGCAAACTCGAAGTTTAAACTTCGTGACCGAATGACATAAAACTGACATGTCAACTCTAGCATTTTCGTCCTTGGTCGCGTAATTTTGAAAACGGGTGTAAAAATTACTTTTCAAAGTTTTCAAACACTTAATCGCCTTTGGAAAAACTCACTCGTGCATGTGTTTTCCAAATTGCACTAGAAACCATACAATCCATACTATTACCTATACGAATTAACTATTTATGAATTATAAATTAGTTATTCGTTTCATCATTGTTGTACAGTGCATGTATATATTTGTATATTTTTATACGGTTTAAATATTGACAATATTGTAAATAATGATGTTCATTGTTTGTGATGTTACCACAGGAGGCCCAGGCTCGATTTGCCCGCTCCCGCCTGTGCCTTCCTTATAACGAGGGAAGGAAGGAAACATTGAGACCAAAATAGCCCAGACTTGGCATATGTCACACGAAACTATCCTCGATTATTCGCCTTTAATGCATTCCTTTCACGATTAATCGACATCCCCTGCAAGAATGATACCGTATAACTCTCAAAACAACGATGCTTTAATCAAAGAGCTTAAATTCGCTCTGAAATCTGTGAGGGAATAACAAAATTCGGCCAAAATATATCCGCGTGCCCGGTTTGCTGTGCAAAAAGCGGAAGTCGTTGAACAACTCAAAATACACTCAACCTGATTGGACAACGAATATCAACAAACATTTCAAATTTTTTTAACAAACACAATGTGAAATACAATTTATTATACATATTAACGTACTACAGTTATATTTACATGCAGTAATATTTACACTTTATTATAACGTTTGTGAATAGTTTTGTTTGTATGATTGAAATTATTACAGTACTGTTAAAAAAAATTGAAATGTTTGTTGATATTCGTTGTCCAATCAGGGTTGAGTGTATTTTGAGT